ACATTCACACTTTACAAAACTTATAGATAATAAATATCAAGATTTTTTTTATAAGATTAATAAGATCACTTGTACATAATTTAATTAATCAATATTTAAATTTTTTTTTTTACTATTATAAAAATTTAAAATGACTTATTTTATGGGGACATGGCCTAATTAAAAGCTAAATATAAAATATAAAATAAAAATTAAAAATTAAAAAAATTGTATAAAGGATACTGCCTAGATATTATGGAAGGGTACTACTTTAGTATTGATATATAGATGAATTAAAATTTTTCATTACATTGTTAATTATTTAGGTGACTTAATCACTCCTCAACCCATTTTTTAAGTATATTTACTTTGACTTTCTTTTTCTACTTGAGGTGAAGGCAAAGGGTCTAAGTTAATTTGCTAACACTACTCTTTTGCCTAAGAATGATATAATCACAGAGGAGGTTAAGTTTGAACTTTATTTAGATTTTGTTAGGTAGAATTGTTAAAGGTTAAAAAATTCTTTTTATTGAGTTTAATGCAACTCCATTCTCAAAATTCAAAGTTGAAAATAAAAGGCTACTAATAAGGTGATTTTTGTTATTAAAAAATTGATATGGATACTTCACTCTTTTATATTATTATCATTTTTTTTTTAGGTTAGATTTGAACCTTATTTAGATTTTGTTAAGTAAAATTGTTAAAGGTTAAAAAACTCTTTCTATTGAGTTTAATGCAACTCCATTCTAAAAATTCAAAGTTGAAAATAAAAGGTTACTAAAGAGGTGATTTTTGTTATTGAAAAATTGATATGGATACTTCATTCTTTTTTATTATTATCATTTTTTCTTTGATTTTTTTTCGAGGTTAGGTTTGAACTTTATTTAGATTTTGTTAAGTAAAATTGTTAAAGGTTAAAAAACTCTTTCTATTGAGTTTAATGCAACTCAAAATTCTCAAAATTCAAAGTTGAAAATAAAAGGCTACTAAGGAGGTGATTTTTGTTATTGAAAAATTGATATAGATACTTCACTCTTTTTTATTATTATCATTTTTCCTCTGGTTTTTTGTTTTTTGGAGGTTAAGTTTGAACCTTGTTTAAATTTTGTTAGGTAAAATTGTTAAAGGTTAAAAAACTCTTTCTATTAAGTTTAATGCAACTTCATTCTCAAAATTCATAGTTAAAAATAAAAAGTTACTAAGAAGGTAATTTTTGTTATTAAAAAATTGATATTGATACTTCACTCTTTTTTATTATTATCATTTTTCCTTTTTTTTTTCCCTTCTCTTAAGTTGCTTCTTCTTTTCTTATATATGATCGTTTAAACCTTTACAAAGATTTAAATCACTTAATCAATTTCTAAAATAATAAATTTTGAATAATGATTAAAAAAATTGGTTAAAATTAAAAAAAAATATGTGATTTTGATTATGAAAATTGAAATAAAGAATAAAAAAAGTAAACAATAAAAAAAAGCATTTTGAATGAAAAATTAATAGATTAAAAAAATAATAATTTGAGTATAAAATTTAAATTTGAGATTTGAAAGAAAAAATTTAACAATATAATAATTTAACCTTTCAATGATCAAACTATTGAAGATAGAGATAGTAATATCTATCCTTAGAAAATGTGAAAGAAAATAAAATATTAATTAAAATATATCATAATAGTAATATTAATAAAATGATTGATAGTATTGAAAATTCAAAATTTGAAAGGAGAGTAAAAAATACCTAAAATGAGTTATGAAAAATGAAATTAAAATAGTGGTTAATGATAAAAACCCGAGCTTCGAAAAGAAGGCAATACATGTAATGGGAGAAACATTTTTTTAAAATGTATTTTAAAAACAGATTATCAAAAATTGTTCTCATTGGGGAGAGCTCTACACTATGTATATCATATGTGCCCCTATCATCTGCTAGTCTCTATCTTTACCCTCTTTCATATACCCTATGCTATGCTATCTGTGTGACATGATGCACTGCACCTCAGGCCCTAGTTTCTACTTCCTTTCTCTTCTTTGCTTTAAGGACAACCCACCGACCACCACTTCAAAATAATAAAGATGATAAAACAAAATTCAAAATTTTAGAAATTCAAAAAAAAAAAAAATAATGATTAGATTTTTTGGATGATTGGGAGTGGATAAGATAGGGAATGAAAACTAATTTGGAAAAATTTTAAACTAAAAATTTTTAAATTCTAGAAGTATAAAAATGAATAGATTTTTTTTGGAGTTTCGATGAATAAGGGAGTGGGTAAAAATTATTTTCAAAAAATTTAAAATAGTAAAAATAATAGGTAGACTTTGTGGGAAAGTTGATAGAATGTTGAAGAAAAATTGAACGGTGGTTATAAAAAAATAATGGATGGAAGAGATGACAGAGGCATTTTAAAAATAAAAATAAAATTTAAAAAGAGATATAAATATAAAGATGCGTCTTTGTTAAAAAAAAATAAGAGAAGAGAGAAAAAAAAGAGTAAAAAAAGTAAAGGAGTGTTTGTTTTTTTAAATAATTTTCTTTTTTTAAAAATAAAAACTTTTTTTAAAACAGTAATTAAAATACCATAAGAATTTTTTTTTTGAAAAACTTTGCTTATTCTCATAATATACATCGTGTAAAAAAAAGTACACTAAGGAAGATTTTTTTTTTATTTCTTTACGCTTTTAGTTGCATGATTATTCCTGTTTTGATTTTTTTTTTTTATATTTTCACTCTTTTAGTTTTTTTTTTCTAATGTAATAATCAATGGTAACAAAAATACATCAAATAATATTTTTTATATTTCTTTGCTCTCTTGATTGTGTAATTTTTTCTTGTATGGTATTTTAACATTTTTCAAACTCTTAATTTATCTTTTATTTGATCTTTTTTTAAGTATAATAAAACACAAGAAGAGTTTCATTTTTTAATTAAATTTAAAAGGAAAATACAAAACTCTCTTAATTTTTTTATTTAAGTTAAATCAATAATTTTTTTAAATTCACTTCAATATTTTCAATATGTCTATGTATTTTGTTTTATTGTTTCCTTTTTTTTTATGGGTCCTAACATTTTTGTTTTTGATTTGTAATTTGTTTTTGAAAAAAAAAACTGAAGAAAATATGTTTAATTTAATTTCTTTTGACGTTTTAGGTTTAAACTTTTTCTGTCTTTTTTATTTCTTATTCATTCGATTCTTTATAATAATAATGATGTAAAAAATTTAAAAAATAAAATAAAAGATTGTGTGGATTGATTTATTATTATTATTATTATTATTATTGCAAATAAATTGTGTAAATAATCTCTATAAAAAATTACAAAATTAATGCTTGTACAAAGGTCAAACTTATTTTTCTTAAAAATAAAATAAATAAAAATATATAAATAAAATTTTTTGAATCCAAGTAATGACTAATTAATGTTAATTGAGTATTTGATCCACTTTTAATAAGGAATGAGTTTTAATTGATGAAAAGAAAAATTTACTTCAACCAATATATTCTTAGGCATGGTGATACATAATATAGAAATTACACTCAGAAAATTTTTTAGATTGTAAAATTTTACTGAGTAACTATATGTTAACTTGAACTTTATACAAAATTTGATTCACTTCTTATTAATTATACTCAAGTGATCAATTAATGTTAATTAAGTGGTAGATTGATATTTTTTGGATATTTATCAAAATAATCATGTGTTAAGTTGAATATGCAAAAATGAGTTTAATTATAAAATAAAATAATTATTTTTTAATATTTATCTCAAAATTTAAGTTTAATTTTTTTAAAATTTAAAATACTTTTTTATTGTTCAAATTAGATATTTTTTAAAAAAATTTATTTATTATTACATGACATTAATTGAATTTTATATTTATAGTATAATAATAGTAGATAAGATATAATAGATAAGTGTTTAACGCATTGCATTGGTATATATATTATAAAAGAATTAAATTATACTGGTCTAAATTATATTCATTCTTATATTATTAATAACTTAATATAAAAATAATTTTTATCAATTAAACTGTTGAATTATAATTATATATAACTAGATTATTTGTATCAAATTTTGTCAAAATTAAATAAAATAATTTTTATTTTTATAAATTTTAAAAATATATATTACATTAATTTTAAAGTATATAAATAATGTATTAAATAATTTTAAATTAATTTCAAATTTTTTATACATGATCTATATGATTAAAATTTTTAATTTAATGATTAATTATAGGATTAAATTATCTAACTAAATATTATTAAAAGTTATACATCATTTATATTAATGTAAATTATTTTTACTCTTATTGATTAATAACTTAATATATAAAATAATTTTCATCAATTAAAACGTTGATAATTATATATTATTTATATCAAATTTTATCAAAATTGAATCTCTATAACATTGTTATAAATAATTCTTATTTTCATAAATTTTAATAGTATATATTATATTAATATATATATATATAAATATAAATAAAATATATTAAATAATTTTGAATTAATGTCAAATTTTTTATTTCAAAACTTTTATTCTAAAAATTAATTTGATAATTACTTTATTAAAAAAAGTTATAAAATAAGAATAAAAGTAAACTTGACTTATACCAATAATGTGATCACTCCTTATATATCTATGCATTTTTTTTTCTTTTTTCATTCTAATTATTAATGAATGTCCAACTAAACCTAGTAGTTTATAAAAACATATCATATAGGTTAAAAAAAAGTCACAAATGTAATTAACTTACATTTATGAAAGATATAAAAATGATTTTTTAATGTGACTCGTAATAAAATCTCTAATTTATACTGTTTGAATAATTTTTTACCAAATATAATAAATAGAGTTTGACTAAACGTTTTATTAACCAAGTATGCACTTAGCAACAAAGATTAAAAATAAAAATAAAAATTTAACAAAAAAAATAAAAGTGTAAAAGTAACGCGGCACTGTTGTGTTCATCTCCTTCCGCAAACTACAATAACATGGGCGTCCTTTCACAGCTTCAAATGGACAAATAGTATACGTGGCGTGGTCCCATTGGAAGGAGATGGAGTCTGTGTTTCCCTCGTTCTAACCGCATGCAAAATCGACGTTGCGAAAAGAACAATAACACCAAAAAAAAAGCCCACAAAAGCGTTTTATTGAGTATCGTGCAAATCAACCGTTAATACATATTACACCATTCTCCACTCACTCCTCGCTCTGCTCTCTGCACTTCGACCACTCCGAAGAAAATCAATATTCATTCTTAGGGTTAGGGTTAGGATTTCCCCCTAATCCAATTGAGGAGCGAGATGGGCGTCAATTCCTTCCCATCGGAGGATTCCGTCCTCGATCTCGACGAGCAGATCTCACAGCTCATGCAATGCAAGCCGCTTTCCGAGCAACAGGTTTCCATTTCCCTTTATATCTCAATCGTTACGATCTGTTTCGTTATTTGCTACTTCGATATGGAATTTACCTTGATTGTATTTGTCTTTTGCTTAATTTTTACATTTTTCTTTTGTTTGGATGGATCGAATTGAAAGTAGCGTAAAATAAGGACTAAGGAGTAGTGGCTCTTACTTGATGCGGAGGAATTATGAAGATGGAAAAAAAATAGAAATGGAGATTGTTCGGAAAAAATACAGATTTTTGTTTTCGGCTGTAAAAGTAGCTTCTTTTTCCCTGTTTAGATTTGGATATAGTCATGTAGTCGCGCATAGGGAAATATGAGTTCATCAATTTAATGAAGTTTGAAGGAAAATTTAATTGTGGATGTTTAATTATGGTATTTGTATTTTACAAATGGCTTTGTTAGGTTAGGAATAGATTGTTATGACGCATGGTAAAGGTTATGAACTAAGATGTTTTGTGTTTGGTAGGTTTGATATATAGGAAATCATAATCTAGGATTGTTCGTATTTGGAACTGTTGGAGGACTAACCTTGGAGCAACTTTGAGGTTTCTCCCAGTGATTGAGTGACTGGGTGGGGGTGAAAACAGCCTCTCAACTCATTAGGGTGGTGTTGCATCACCCTCTCTAGAGCCCAGAATGGTGCAGGATGGGAGCATTGTACCTCCGGCTGTATGTCTGTATTGAAGCCTTCTGACATCGGGAATCGGAGATATGGGTCTGTAATGTATTTGACTAGATGGCATAATAACTTGTATATTGTATAGCATGGTGGAAACCTAGTAAGAGTTATCTGCATAAAGATGCCTTGTTGGCATCTTAGTGAAGCAGTGTTTACCAACAGCTAACTATGGGTTTTGTCTCCAACTTGTATATTTAAACGGGGTTCTTAATTCATTATGCTGATGCTACTTTGGTGGTCTTGTATGGTTTTTACAATAGCTTCATCCTTTGTCATTTTTGTATCAGCAGTTTTTTTTTTTATTTGTTCCTGCAGAAGATCTTATATCTAGAGTTCGTATACTTGAAAATTGACTTAGATGGGAAAATGAATAGATTTCATAATTTCTTGTTTGACCTCTTTTCCCTTTGATACTTACTATTTTTCCTTGGAAATATCATATATGTTGATGCTGATTGTCTTTCTTTCTTTTATTGATTGTTTTAACAAAGCAATAGTGACTCTTTTCTTGGAATCTATCTCCAATATCTTTTCCTCCTCTGATTGTTATCTCTTTGAGAAGATAAATATAAAAGTAAACTAATGCTCTCGTTTTCTATTGTGCTGTAGGTTAGAGTTTTATGTGAGAAGGCCAAGGAGATTTTAATGGATGAAAGTAATGTCCAGGTGTGAACCTTCCTTCCTTTTTATTTCTTGTTTTACGTTTAAATGAGGCCCTACTCTATTTCTCTAGACATTGATCTCACTCTTCACTAATTTTTCATCTGCTGGTTTGCTTTGCATAAAAAGTAATCCATTGTAGGGGACAGAAATCAGTTGCTGCTGTTTGTTCAACATTTTTTTGGGGGCAGGGAGGGGTGGGGGATTACCCCTTATTTGGGTTCCTTTGTCTGATGTTATTGCTTTTGTTGCCTGTTTTGTGGCAGGAAGAAGTAATTCTTTTAGTCCATTTTTTAAAATGCTCATGCTATATATCTTTTTTTCCATTACAAATACATTTCACTATTTCAATGCATCTTTTAATTGCAAGTTTTTTCTGAGAGAGAGAGAAAGCATTAATTTTTCTCTCTCTTTTGTACCACAGCCTGTGAAAAGCCCTGTGACAATTTGTGGTGATATTCATGGGCAGTTTCATGATCTTGCTGAACTATTTCGAATTGGAGGGAAGGTATCAGTTCTGACTATCACTTTCCTTTTGTATTCCACTCTTCTGTTTCAGCTGGGGAATGTCTTAACTAACTAATTGAGACCTGCCAAAGAAAAGGCTTTTGAAGATTGAAGTGCATCAGAGGTATTGTGGAGTAAATTGTATAACCAGGGAACTACTCCTTGAATTCACTTCAACCCTAATATTACCACGTTAAAGTCTATTAACATTTTACTAGTGTAAAATGAACTTTTTTTTACAAGAATTCTTTTTTTCCCCTTGATATTGTACTTTGCTGATTATTTATATATGATATCTGAGAATATTTGTTTTCTTGACAGTGTCCAGATACTAATTACTTGTTTATGGGTGATTATGTGGACCGGGGTTATTATTCAGTTGAAACTGTAACAGTAAGTACATTGAAGATAAACTTATTGATTTTTCTGTACGTATTAATAGTTGCTGCTTGTTCCAGAGCTTGTGTTTTATGTTATTCATGCTTTATAGTATGAAATCTATGAAAGTGTGGCTAATCATTTAAGCTGTCTCATGCAATTAGGGTGAATAGAAAATTGGATGGTCCCTAAATGGCAAGTAGCTCTTTCAAGTTTCAAAATTTATTACATAATAAGGAAATATAATTAGAATGTTTACTGTGGAGTATTATTTATGGATTTTCAACGTGGTCAGATTTAGAAGGCTTGCAGTTGATAAATGTTACTTATAAATAAGTCCACATTATATTATTAATTATACTTATATTTCAAGATAAATTATCCGCATCAAATGCTCAACTTGTGAATGGCAGGCAGAGGTAATTGCTGAGATTCTGGGGCATTAAAGAAAGTCATTCTGACAAAATCTCAACTCTGAAATTAATAGATTGTGAATCTGTTGTATAATTGATAATTGTTTCAGGATAGGTGTTTTTATTCCTGAGATCAAGAAAAGTTGTAACATTTTAGTGCTATTGATCTTAATCATCATTTATAGTAAATTCCTTTCCATTAGTATCAACATGCATATGTACATGATTACATCTATAGGATTACAAATTTTTCTGGATATTATGCTGTGATCGTCTTTTAGATAACTAAGTGATGTAGTTAGATGCATGTTTATATTTATATAGTTGTATACATTTTTGGCTTGTGTGATGAAGTTAAATAACTAAAGGATAAGTCTTTTGTTGTTGTTGAATAGATCATTTGTATCCTAATTCCCCTTGGCTTGATATTGGTGTATTGTGTGTTAGAGGTACTAATTTGTTATTCTATCCAGCTACTTGTGTCACTGAAAGTGCGTTACCCTCAGCGAATTACGATTCTTAGAGGAAACCATGAAAGTCGTCAGGTATGCTTTGGCATTCTTCTTTCTTTCAAATCTTCTGTTCTAAGGTCTATTATGTGATTTATTTTCCAAAGTTATTTAGTAACTTGTATACTTTAATGCCACAAAAATTAGCTTGTCTTGGAGGCTTTCTAGTTTTTTAACAAAATGTTGTTGTTAACTGTTCAGGCTTTGATTTTAAGACTCATGTATTACTTGAACTAATTGTCCCTTTCTTAATCATTTTTTTGCACAGATCACTCAAGTATATGGATTTTATGATGAATGCCTAAGAAAGTGAGTTTTCAACACCTTTATTTTGAGGTCCTAATGGGAAAATTGGGATATTGTTTCAATCGAAGTTCTTTTTTTGTTAATTATTGATGTACTCTACAGTGGTTTCATAAACTTGTGTAATACGTACTGTATAGGCTGTTTGGGAAATGGATTTTCTTTGTGGCCGGAATATCCATTGTTGTACTTTTAACATTAGACTTTGATTAGCTAGTGTCTTTACATGCATGGAAGTTGTGTGGGTATAACCGTATATCGATGGCATACAATGTGTTATGTTCTCGTTAACGTGGGTAAAGAATACACAGTTCTGTACTTATATTCATTACAGAAATATTGGTCTAAATTGAAATACTTCGATGGATCCAATATTGCAGACTAGATGTCCTAGACAAACTGATAACATCAGGATGTTTGTCCAGCTGGCATTTGGGAAAATATTGTAAATTTAAATAAATTATCCTTCAAAAAGGAATGCTGCTCAAAATATTAAAGACAAAAAAATGCTTCTTTTTGAGGGAAGGTCGAGGATGCATCTGATGTGACCTCTGCCAATCTTTTCTTAACGGACCTTGCTTTCTTTGTGTTTCTGTTATTAGTATTATCAAATAATTAATGGTTACAACCATTAGGACTTTCTTTGTTTTGAAGATATGACTTGTGCAATTACTTCCTATGTATTTGAAGTGGATCTTGTGATGTATTACTCAATTTGATTATCTTATGATGTTTGTTCTGTTTACATCATGTGGTCTTTTATTTCAAGACAAACAGTATGATTCCTAATATTCAATGAAGGCATAAATATTTAGATTGAGATTGGACCATAAAGGTGACACATTCATGAATATGAATTGTAACAAGTTAATTGATGTGGTTTGATAAATATTGATAGAAACATATTAGGTTATTAGACTTCATGTTAATAAGCTTGAGCTACACTCTTGACTAATGATCCTAATAAATTCTAACAAATATTATATGTAATTGGATATAGATTGAGATGCAATTTGACTTGTTCTGGATTTAATTCTTCTATAGGATCTATATGAGACTATGGATCAGTTGATAATAGATGTTATCTTATTGACTTATCAAATTCTTTGTTTCCTTTTTAAAGTTCGTGATAGTTCTTATGAATGCTTCTTTTGCAGGTATGGTAATGCTAATGTTTGGAAGATCTTTACAGACCTTTTTGATTTCTTTCCATTGACCGCATTGGTTAGTACATTTTTTTTTCATTTGGGAATTTGACTTAAGAGGACAATAAATATTGAGAATAAACTACGTATCAGTTATTATGTAAAGAATATTCTAGGAAATTGCTTTTTTTTTCCTATATTAAGCAAAATTGCCAACATTTCCCTCCCCCTTTTGTTTCAGAGGTTTGAAGAACCTTTTTCACTGTCTTTTGGAACTTACTTGAACAGTACCCATTTTATGAATTTTAAGTTAGCAACTTAGCATGCTCTTTTCGGAAAGTAAAATGTTGGAAGAGTAAGTAGGATGATGGACCAAGTCATGATATGGTAATTTTTAACAAATTCATGTAGTTTGTGGAAAGCATAGACAGGGTTGTATATATTTCCAGATATGAACTCGTGCTTTGAAATATCTGTCATTCAAATCAAGACATGATGGCTGTATAATAAAACTGAACTTCAGGGTTACTGAATGTAAGATGCTCAAGTTTGTGAAGTTAGTTTGTACTTTGCAACTAGTCTAATTGCAATTCATTTTCATTATAATGATAATCTTTTTCTTGCTATACTGAAAAGGGAGTTTGTTGTTAAAGACTTGAAGATCATAGTTGAAAGCTTTTGAACATTCAGCATCTAATTTAATATTGTTCCCCTTCCAGGTTGAGTCTGAAATATTTTGTTTGCATGGTGGACTTTCACCTTCAATCGAGACTCTTGATAACATAAGGAACTTTGATCGTGTTCAAGAGGTTCCTCATGAAGGGCCCATGTGTGATCTGTTGTGGTCTGACCCAGATGATAGGTGTGGCTGGGGAATTTCTCCTCGTGGTGCTGGATATACTTTTGGCCAGGTAACAAACAATATAATTCTCAACTCTAAGTTGTTGAATACGTTATTTTTGAAGCATTGAGAAATTGGCTATCGTATTTTATATTCAAATTCACTCTTTTTTTTTTACAGGATATATCCGAACAGTTTAATCACACAAACCAGCTCAAATTGATTGCTAGAGCTCATCAGCTGGTTATGGATGGATTTAACTGGGCTCATGTAATTGACCTTCTCATGGAATAATCTTTCTCTTGTTTGCTTTGGAGTAATGGGAGTGAAATTTAGATATGTCCATTTTGTTGAAACAGGAACAAAAGGTTGTGACTATTTTTAGTGCACCTAACTACTGTTATCGATGTGGGAACATGGCTTCAATTTTGGAGGTTGACGATTCCAAGGGCCACACATTTATCCAGGTCTCTCATATTATCTTGTTTAACATATTTTGCTCCTATACTGCATGGTACAATATTGTCATGTGCACTGGATCTCTGAGCATAAATTTGAAATGTAATTGCAGTTTGACCCTGCTCCTAGGAGAGGAGAACCTGATGTCACCCGTAGAACACCTGATTACTTCCTATGATGTAGCTGCTACATATCATATTCGTGTCACAGTTACATCTCATTTTGCACAAATTTCAGGTAGTTGTGCATCCTCGTTGATGAGATTACTGTAGGCACTTAAATCCTTGAATATATATACACACCAAACTTTTTTGCGGTTGCCCAAGACTGCTTTGATGTATAATATAGGCAGATTACATCGTTTTTTTTTGTGACGCTTGAGAAATGTGGATATTTTTTCGTTCTTGTCTTCCTCATTTTTAGAAGCAATGACTGGGATTTTTTCTTCATTGAGGATTTGCTTTGCTATGTTCCGTAATTTTTTCGTAGAAGTTGCATGATAATAGTGATTATGTTTTGTTCTTACAAATTATGTTCAATTTCATTGGTAGTTATCATCTATCCTGATATAGCCTATGAAAAGAATATATATAAACTCGTCAGACTTTGTTTTTGGTTAGTCAAATAACATGGTGGCGAACAAGAGAAAATTGGATTTTGATTTCAATGCGCAATAGTGTATGTTTACAAACAATTGTTCCATCTCTGATCAACATGTCGAAGTTTTCAACCAATTATCTTGCTGCTTAGCTGTTCAGGTTAGACCTAATCGCCTGTGTCGATTTCATTTCTAACCCATGATAGTTTGAACACTGAACCTAGTCGAATGTAGAATTTCCAAGTTTATTATACTGAAAAAAAAAAAATCTAACCTCATTATTTGCTTTTTATCCCTGATAAATTAATTTTTCTTGGAAGGTCAAGCTATGTAAAATCTTAAAAAAGATTCGACTTAGAAGGTAAATTGTTAGGTGATAATTCATGTTACACTCTTTTTTTTTCCTTTGGAAAAATTCAAAGAAATTGGCTTTTGAATGGGCATTATGGAATTTAAATGGGAAAGTTATTTAGCGTCCGAACAGGATTTTCACTATACAATTATTTTACTAGATGTGATAAATTACCATTAGACAAGGGATTTTCTTTGTCTTCCAATTTTACTCCTAATGTTTTAGTTTAGGGAACTTTATTTATCCTAAAATCTAGTTGTGATATGACCAAAGGTATGGTCTCTGGCTAATAAAAGTTTGATTTACGTATTGCTTTGAAGTTAGTTGATATGATATTGCGCATGTCTTATCACCACAAATCCGTGTATGAAAAAAGAGATGATCCAAAGTGAAAAAACATAACAGAATATAGATGAAGATGATAACTTGAATAAAGGAAAAAAAAAAACTAGAGGAATAAAGAGTGAAAAAACAGTGAGGGTGTGAAGGATGATACTAGTAAAAAAAAAAAACAAAAAGTAATTAAAAAAAGTGAAAAATGAAACTAAGAAATATCAAAGAGTCTCGTAAAGAAACAAATGAAAAAAAAATTATAGAAAATTCTAACTACTTAACTCGTCAAGAACTCTTTGGAGCAACATTAGTTGTTAGAGATGACAACCACAAAAGTTACATGGAGAAAAGAGAAACTTGCCATAAACAATAGTACTCAGTAGAGATTCATTAGAGGCAAAAGTTATTGTTAGAATGGATAAGTAACGACTATATGGTTCCTTTATTGAAAAAAAAAAGAAAGATAAAAATGACTCCTGAATTATCCAATTCGCTATTTTTACTTCATATATGGTCTTTGCAATATAAATAGCATTCACCATTTTGAAAATGGCAAAACCACAACACAATGACCATGCATGGTGGCAATCTCAAAATTTTATCTGCAAAAATATCATAGCAGAATAATAGCCGCTATTCAACAACAATGCAACTATATGTCATGTTCAATATACGAATGAAAAATCTTTGCAACTTTCATTGTTGATTACCATAAGATTTCTATCATTGTGCACTTTCAATCATTAATTGCTACTTTTGTATCAAAAAATCTTTTTTTAGCTTTGAAATGTTAAAGTTGACTATCAATCTTATTCACTTCCTCCATGTCTTCTACCATTATTCCAAAGATTTATATAGTCCACGCTTAACTTCAAAATCATTTTTAAAATACAAAGCATAATACAAAATTAGATTAATATAGTAGCGTGTAGCGTGCAAAGGTTTAGGCAATAAATTTTTTCATATCTCACATTTATCTATCATAGTTGTATGAAATTAGAGATTAGAGAATAAAAAAAAAATAGTTTTCAAACCAAAGCTATAAATTATAAAAGTTGAACTAATGTCTTATACACATTTTACTCTATTGAAGTTAGTTTGAATCTTCTTCTTGACTCAATCCATTTTCTCATAAATAAAATTCATGACTGACTTCTCTTCTAAATCCACCAAATGCAACACTTAATTAAGCGATAAACACCTCTTAAGTAACTTAGGATATCTTTCCAAAACTCCTTATTTGTAACTAGATTTTCAACAACTTTTTTCATATTTTGTTTTTGCAAACAAACTATCTTTCCATTCTTTGGATGTAAACATTTTAAAAAAATAATTCATTGTTATCATTCAAGTATCTTAAAGTCAAGTAAGAAGTTGCAAAACATATAATTGCAAGTTTAATCAAATTTGCCTCATTAGTAATGTAACAAAGATATAAGACTAATCCTAGAATAGATATAAGTAGTGATTTTTTTTTTTACCACATGCGGTATTTTCTTTAAGTAACAATGTCTTGTCAAAATCCTCCAACATAAGATTAATATAATGTGCAACACAAGGTATCTAATAAAACATTTTCCTCTTTTAAATCAAATTGAACTAATGTTTTATTTGCATCATTGTTCATCATAATTTATACTATATTTTCTTTTTCAGCTTCTTCAATAACCTTATTTATCATCTTAAAATTTTTATCTGTTATTTTGCATATGTTATATGTCTTAATAAAATTTAAAAATATAGTTTCTCTGAACTATTTACCAACAAATTAAGTATGATCTTTTTAATCTTTTTGTCAGTCAATCTATTGATATTTTAATATATTTAGTTTTTTTTTTCAATAAGCTTTGTATCTTCCAAAATTTAATTTATCTCCTCAATTTTTTATTTTAAATATTTTACTTGAATCTCATGGTAGAATAATAACTTAAATTCAATACTATATTGAGCAATTGTCTCATGCATCTTTTAAAACTCTTCACTCTTGACAATTCAATCAGTTCTGTCTCGAACATATAAAAATTAAAAGAACCAAAACCAACACTTAAATCTGATAAACTTAATTCTTTTAACTGTTTAAAACTGTGACCCAATCCAATTTGATTTGAAATTAAATTTCAACTTTCGCTTTCCTTTGGTACGGGTGGGTCACAAAATTTTGCTCACCCCTAGTCAAAAGTGTAAGTGAGTACTTGAGTGGATTTCTTTCCTTAGGTGTAAAGTGAGGATCGTTGTATGCGACAGTGAGAGTAACTAACACTTGGGGATTTTGGTTTCAAATTATCGTGAATGTAAGTGTGAATGGAGGGATTAAGAATGCAAGCTTTTGGTCTTCCTTGAGTACATCTGACCGAGAGAATGAAGAGTGTTCTTGGCACTTTGGTCTCAAAATGGGTACGAAAATTAAGCTTCTTCTTCGTGTTGGGCTTGACAAAAAATTTAGAGTGGGAAGATTTGTGTGAGATGCTTCACAAGTAGAGTCCTAGGTTAAGTCTTCTTGAGAGTTTAAAAATTTCACAAATTGTGGATTTGAATGATAGGAGTGGTTACACTTGGTTTTGTTTGAATGTTATTTAAATAATTAGTAAAATTATACTCATCTTACAAATATAATTTCTAAACTCTTACTAACTTTAAGAAATTTTCTACGCTTGCTAAGTCCTTTAATATATATATATATATATATATATATATATATATATATATATTGTATTGAATGTCAAATTAATATTCTTGTATCAAAATAACTCAAAAATATTTTTATAATGTCATTTATATTAAATTAAATTCGTTAATTTGATCGCATCATAAAAACAATATTTTCTGTTTTGTGTAATGTCATTTATATTTATAAAAATATTTAATACGTAATTATTATATATGTTTTTTAAAAGTTAAATATAACTCTTAGAATAAGAAATGTCCCATATAATGATCTAAAATGAAATCTCTGAAATAAATTATAACAGATAACCAACATGGAAAATATATCATTCAGAAAACAAAACATATGGAAATCTTAAAAAGTATACTAAATAAATAAATATAAATCGAGAATATGCAGCTCTGTTTAATGGTAAGTAATAGTAAAAGCAAAGAAGTGGTTATATACATATACGCATATTATTTAGAATCAATAATATCTTCAATAATTTTTTACTATAAAACTATTTATTAATTCAATTATTAAATTATCTATATCATAACATTTATATATATATAATTTCACAATAAATGATATTTTTTGTGTAATAAGTATTTTATTTATATTTTAAATAACATTTCAAACACTAAAATAAAGTGGGCCGGTTAATGCGCATAAACGCACCTGTAGCTTTATAAATGACATTTAGCAACCTACTAAATTCATTATCATTATACTTTTCCTTGATTAATAATTCCCCAAAGGGACTTGGTGTCACTTGTACACTATTGAATTTCTCTAAATATTTACTTTGTTAGAAATTAGGATCAGGATTCGGATTTGTTGAAATTTTCTTCACATCAAAAATAAAATTTTATGTTTAAAAACTTTTTTGAAGTTTGACAAAATTACACTGTTTGTGTTCTCAGAATTATATAGATCTCTCTCCTATTAAACTTTAACATATAATTATATTCCTTCAAGTTATGAACATTTTTGTCATTCTTCTCACTGACCCTCAAAAAAGAAAGTTGAGAAAATGAGATGGGTAAGGTGGAACTGGAAGCAAATTCCAGAAAAAGAACATCTAAGCGAAACCAGGGAGTAATCAGTTACAGAAATTATTCTTATTCTTATTATTAAATTACAGTATAGATAATGAAGTATACTCTTGTAGTTGTTGCACAATCTATAGGATCTAAGGACAGAAGGAAAGGTATATATTTTAATACAGTTTGGTGCAGCATAAGAGTAGTGACAACACGGCACAAGATATAAGTCACTGACTACCCATTCCTCTTCCTTTCATGACATGTCTCCTTAGACCAGGTATATGAACATTGGTGATATAGTCTTTCCAATCAATGCTCTTTACATCAAACCCAAACTCCATCTTTTCTTCTTCAGACATGCATTCCATCAATTCTTGTGTATTACTGTTATCAAACCTGCATCATAGTTATTGGTTTAAAATCAGTAAATCATAAGATGCATATTTTTATTTATTTATTTGCTTCACAGAAACATGAATAACTAGTTCTGTCACTAGTTGAAGAGTGTGAAATTAAATGAGTATCTAACCTTCCACCATAAAATGTATAGGGTTCGTAAATGTTGGCCAAGTACTTTGCTTGCTCCACTGATTTTCTACACATATTTTCAAGCTTTTGAGACATTTTCCCCTTTGAGG